TTTTACACAAAACATGTATACATTATATAAAATAACAATAACAAAAAATAATAATAATATGTATAGTAATTTTCATATTAATAATATTCAATTAGTTTATTAAACCAATTAATATTATTTAATATATTATAAATAATAATAATTTATAAAAAAATAAATTATTATAATTATCTGCAAAATCATTATAAAGTCTAATGAATATCAATAAACTATAAATTTATTCAAAAATTTTTAATATATATTTATATAAAGATTGAATTTAAATATCAAATATTATTTTTTAATAAAATATTATTAATTTTAATAATACAATAGTTTTTATAATAAAAATAATTTAACTAATTATAAAATAATGTATAAAATTAATAATCTATTTCTATTGCTTACTACTATTACTATTGTTTTACTATTAGTAATAAATGTTCATCAAATCAATGCTACAAGTATATTAAATAAAAATTAATTACTATTACTATTACTATTACTATTACTATTACTATTACTATTACTATTACTATTACTATTACTATTACTATTACTATTACTATTACTATTACTATTACTATTACTATTACTATTACTATTACTATTACTATTACTATTACTATTACTATTACTAAACTTACTATTTTCGCAATAATAAAAATTTTATTTTTTTTAAAACTAAGAATGTCAAAATCTTAACGATATATGTAATAATAAAAATAAATGTTGCCCTCATTTGGCTTGCGGTCGTAAAAGTAGAAAGTGTGAATATTCATCAACAAATAAATAACTAAATAATTATAATAATTTAATATAAACATAATTTAAATATATTAATATAAAAATGTAATATTATTTATTGTTATTATAATATAAATTTGATAATAAAATATGTTTCTATGGAAAAATTGATTAAATTTATTTATTAAAACGCCATAAAATTAAATAATAATAATTTTCATWAAAAATATACTAATGTATTATTGTTATAATAATAATGTTAAGATAAWTAAACATGTTTCTATGGTAAAAACGATTAAAATTATAATATTATTGAAAATTTAATTTATATCATCTTAATGTATTTTATATTAAATTAAATAAATAAAAATAAAAGCATACATTTACAATCGATTTGCTAATAATTAATTAAAATTATTATTTACAGGGTTTTTAAACAGTGTCTGTCTGTCTAAGCATAAAAAATTAAGAACTTTTATATGTTTTTACTGAAGAAATAAACATTTTTTACAGAAAAAATCTCGAATATTTATTATATATTTTATTTTATTGTATTTTACTTTTTATATTTTAATTAAAATGAATTAAAAAATATATTAAATTATATATATTAAAAATTGATATATATATCAAATATTACAGTTAGTTAAATTTAAATAAAAGAAAAATTTTTAAATTTATGCCATGAATCATTTGTAATTACCGTAAAATTGTATTTTATTTCCAATATGGAAAAATTGTAAATTTCATATTGTAAAAATTACGTATTTTTTACCGCCCCTGGCAATAATTAAGCACTAAATTATTATAGAAAGTAAAAAACTATATTTTTCATATATGAAAAAACTCATATTATTTCCCATTACTTTTACATTTCAATACGTAAAATAAAATACCATTTAATGGTTAATACAGATTTATGAAAAAATTGGCATCTATTTTCTATGTCAACAATTATTAAAACCCTAATGATAGGTTAAAATATAACATTAAAAATATAATTGAAAAAACAATATTGTTTGCAAAAATAATTATATTGAATCAGTGTTTCAAACATAAAAAAAATGTTTTTAACAATAAATTTTAGTAAATTCTATATACTGTATTTTCATTTTTAATTTGTGGTATTTGTTGTTTGTATCAATTAATAAGTATTTTAAGTCAMTTGTATTTTAATTACGATACAACACATTGCATTAAAAACTAATAATTCAATCAATGATAATATAGTCATACAAACAATAACTATTTGTTTGCCAAAAGTTGAATTATATGCTAAAACAATTGGTCTGAATAATTATCGTTCACCAAATAATTATGACGTTTATAATAATATTATTCATATATTAAATAATATGACATATAGTGAACAATTTATTTTAAATGAATCCATTTAATAATCTAATTTATTGTTACTATTTTAATTATCAAGGTGATATTGTTGATTGCAATAATATGACCGACTATAATTATTTAATTGACTACAATGATTTTTGTATAACACTATTTAGCCAATGGCAAAATGAACCTGATTATTATTATCATGCTAATAGAGATCTTACATTTGTTGACTGGGATCGATTTGTTGTTGATTTAAAAATTTCAAATTTATTAAATCAAACAAATTTAGAAATTTATTTTARCGATCGTAGACAACAAATTTATTTTATGAAAAATACGTTTGATAATTTACCAAAATTTAAATTTCAACATAAATATTATATTATGTTTGAACGATATACTGTACAATACGATAGGGTCAGTCATTCAATGGGACTGTGCGTTTGGCAAACGTTTGACGATTGTATTAGTAAATGTCTAATTAATTATTATTTAAAACTAYATAATAGTTATCCATATTTTCTATTATATTGGATTAACAATACCAATATCGATAACATATTAGTGGATGATTATTATGGCAATATTACTACATTGGCTGATAATTTAAAAATGCTTATATTTAATGTCAACTGATAATTTATATRATAATTGTAATATTAAATGTAATAAATTTAGATTGTTACCATTTTGTCAGAAAAATTTTACCAAAATTATCTATCAAAATATAAACAAGTCAATTATTATAATGATGATGATGATGATAATGCTAATAACAATATAGATATTATGATTAATTATCCGAATACGCCAAACGATTYGTTTATTTATCTAATTTCAATCAAATTATCTTTTGAAGAGTTTTTAATATTTTTTATTAGTATACTAAKTACTTGGTTCGGATTTTCAATTATAATGTTTACGGAAAAATTGAAATTATTTATCCAATATATATCTGCTAACTATTACTATATATATTTTAGACAAACTATTGTTAGAATAGAACTTCGACCACATATTCGAGTTAATTATATTCAACCGCAACCTAACCCACTATTTCAGAGAGTCGACCGTAATATACCTGTAAATAATAATAATAATAATTAATAATAATTAATAATAATTAATAATAATTAATAATAATAATTAATAATAATAATTAATAATAATAATTAATAATAATAATTAATAATAATAATTATAATAATATWATAATAATTATTAATAATTATTATATAATAATTTTCTAATAATAATAATAATAATATACAATATATATTCTAATAATATAATAATAATAATAATTACTAATAATAATATTAATATTAATAATTAATAATACAAACCAAACTCGACGGCAACAATACATCACATTTGGTCACAGCTTGCGGTAAATATATATTTATATAGATATAGATAATAGTCTATTGATTTTGTTTCTAAAATTTTTAATTAATTTTTTTTACTCATACCTCTACCCGTACTATACATACATACACACATGTAGTCAATCACCGGCCAAACGAATTTATGGAAATACAGGAATAATAATAACAATAATTCAAATTCAATAATTTTTTTTAAAAATATTAAACACTTAAATTTTTTATATAATTATTATAGTAATAATGTATTTTTAATAAATACAATACATATTTTGTATATTCTGTATATTCTGTATATTCTGTATATTCTGTATATTCTGTATATTCTGTATATTCTGTATATTCTGTATATTCTGTATATTCTGTATATTCTGTATATTCTGTATTTTCTGTATATTCTGTATATTCTGTATATTCTGTATATTCTGTATATTAATTTAAATTTATATATAAATTAATTCAATTCTCTCTCTCTCTCTCTCTCCGGTTAATCATTATATTACTATTTACTAATAAAAATTAAAATTTTTAACAAAATATTGATTTATTTCTATTGAAATTTTTAATTAAAAAAAATAAAATTATTAAAAAATAATTTATAAAAAAATTTTTATTGATTAATTTTTTTTGTCTATTAATTTTCTATAGTTAGTAATGATTATTATTTTTATTACTATACTTTTTTGTACTTAAATTAAAWACAAAAWAAATAAATCTATTAATTATTATCTAACAAATTGAAAATACAATAAATAAAACTTATTATAATAACGRTGTTKTTATTAAATAATTAATTGATTTATTTTATACTATATTATTTGAATTCAATATATAATTTATATWATTATTGCAAAAAAAAGGTTAATAATTATAATAAATATAATAATTAGCTAAATATTTTACATACAACTAAATTACTTTTGATAATTGAATTTATTTTATTTTTTTAATTAGTTTAATGATATTTATTATTAATATTATTKTAAATATAACAACAATACTATTGTTTTATTTCATACAATTTTTTTGTAATATTTATATTTAGTATCCAATGGTAACTAATTAATAGATTTTTTATGTACAATAATATATATAAACAAATTTATKTAATTTRTWAATATTTATTTATTTATTTTATTATTATTTTTTAACTTTTATTTTAATCAAATTATTGATTTTTACTATTATTAAATTAACTATATATTTATTATTTGATCTAGTTAAATTGTAAATAAACWATTAATTTTKTTWAGTTAGAAAARTGCTAAATATTTAAATATTTTATAACAAAAAAATATTTAAAAAAACTTATATTTTTATTATTTTTGTTTAATAAATTAAAGAAAAAAACTTTTGATATATTACTACTAATAATAATAATTATTTAATTATACAAAAAATAGAAACAAATATTTAAAAATAACAAAACATTTTTATTTATTGTAAATAATAAAAATTTTAAATTTTATTTAAAGTATTATATTATTATTTTATTATTATTATTATTATTAATGTTTGGTTAGTGTATTAYAGATGACCTTAAAAACACTAWGACCTGAACAGTGCTGACTCTGCTCGGCGACGGTTAACCAAACCGGGTATAACCTGACCGGCCATTGATGTGTATTGATTGAAATTGTCGGCCGCCTSTKGATAGTTACGTTGAAGTATGGCCTGCAAAACGGTAGACCGKGTAAAACCCAGACATCCCATATTGAAGGCAAATGATGTRCACTTAAATTAAAATTTTAAAAAAAWAATTTAACAAACAATAAAAAATTTAGCATGCTAAAAAATTTGTTATTAACAAAATAAAAATGCGTTTAAAAAATAAATATATAAGCATACTAAAATTTTTTTAACAWAGCAATTATTCTAAAAAAAATATTTTTAAGCAAAATTAGCATGTTTAAAAATTTGATTTTAACAAAATAACCATGCCAAAATTTGTTTAACTTAGTAATCATGCTAAAATGTTTTTTTAAAACAAAATAAGCATGTTTAAAAATTTGTTTAACAAAATAAGCATGCTAAAAACTATTATTAACAAAATAAGCATGCTAAAAACTATTTTTAATAAAATTAAAAAAAAAAATTATKTTACTGCAGCAAACTGGTTGTCATTCAATAGTCCCGGTGCTGCCGTGTCGACACATTGTTCAAATTGTACCAAATCTTTGAGCATCAAATCGGTTGCCTGGGCTTCGCTAAGTGGGGGTTGCAATTGGTTACAGTGTTGCGGATCGAAAGCACAGGCATGACCGTAGCCTATGGTTTTCTGGCCCTATGGGGGGCGGAAAAAATTAATTAATTAAATTTTTAAAATCAATTAAAATGATCTAGCTACTAAACAATTTGATCGTAATAATAGTTAGCCCGAAACCCCTCCTGTTGTTTGATTAGGTCGATGCCGGCCTGATTTATTTGCCGCACACTGGCAACCCCTGTAGCACCTGTAGCCATGATTATGGCCAGTAATGTAATCAATGATTGCATAGTAAACATTAGGTTATAGTATATATATACTGTATATATATAATACTAATAAACAATATTATAAAATATTGTATATAAAAAAAATACTTAATAATAAACTATTTTAATATAATAATTAATATTAATTATTATTATATTTATTGCTATTTATACACTAATATTATTATACACTAAAAAAATTTTTAGTTTATATATTAATATATATATATAACTGTATTTGATTACAGGWATATATATATATATATATACTAAAATTTAAAAAAATACAGTATATATGTCAAGATTTTTTAAAAAAATTTTATTATCATTTATATGTTTACAGTTAAAATTATTATTATTTTTTTTTATGTGTMTAATAATTTTCTATATAAATGCAAAAATTTAGCATTATCATTTTATTTGTTTTGTGTCTGTGTAGTTCAAAATAAAATAAAATAATAATAATAATTATTATTATTATTTTTGTTGTAAAATCATCATGTTGATTTTAAATAATAATTCTAGTGAAAAATATTAATTTGATTTCAGTGTAATATATATTTTTAAAAAAAAAAAATAATATTAAATCATTTTAATTATTAATTATATATTTTACTTTTAAAAACTCTAGACTATGAAAAAATAAGCATTAAAAATGATATTTAATATTTATTTTTTAAAAGTAAAAATTAAGACTAATTTTTGTTTTTACTAAAATATATAAAATTTTTAATATTATAATATTTAGTAAAATAYTAAACAATTTATGATTTTAATTATTTTAAAATATACCCGAAATAAATAATAAAGCATGAAATTATTTTTTAAATGCTAAATTTATTTTTCATATTTTTTTATAATTTTTTATTAATTGAAATCACAAATAAAATAATTAAAAAAAAAATAAATAACAAATAATATTAATTTAATATTATTTTTTAATAACTAAATGTCCAATGCATCCTTTTCGCATTCCTATAYTTAAAAAAATAAAATTTAATTAAATAAAAAATAAAATAAAATTTAATTAAATAAAAAATAAAATAAAATTTAATTAAATAAAAAATAAAATAAAATTTAATTAAATAAAATTAATGTTTTTTAAACACATACACATACACATACACATACACATACACATACACATACACATACACATACACATACACATACACATACACATACACATACACATACACATACACATACACATACACATACACATACACATACACATACACATACACATACACATACACATACACATACACATACACATACACATACACATACACATACACAWACACTATAGTATTACCATTAGTTTGTTATGATCTATATTTTCATTACTATTTGATGACATTTGTTTGTTTGATATTTGTTGACTAAACTGTTTATTATCTTTCATTAATGACATTAGTTTTTGCATTAAACATTGTTGAAATTCAGGCAAACATCTGTACAATAGCTGAAATTTGATTGAAGGATCGGTAGTATTAACTTTGGTATATTTGCTCAGATAGTCGGCCYTTTCCTTTATACAGCCGCTAAAAACTTCATTCATCTAAATATATATATATATATATAAAACAATTTTTAAAATTATAATAAAAATTTTATGAACAATATATATATATATAATAATTGTATAAATAATTGTTTTTAAATAATTGTCTATAAAAAAATATCTAAGATTGCCAAACATGATATATAATAATTTTGTTATTTTATTAATAATAATAATAATAATAATTTTGTTATTTTATTAATAATAATAATAATAATAATTTTGTTATTTTATTAATAATAATAATAATAATAATAATTTTGTTATTTTAATAATAATAATAATAATTTTTGTTATTTTATTATTATTATTATTATTATTATTATTAATAACAATAATTTTGTTAACTTATAATATAATTTATTTTTATAAAAAATAAATAAAAATTAATTCTATTAATTAATATRTATATATATATATATATGTAGAATAATTTTTATAATTAAAAAAAAATAATCTACAATAATAAAACAAAGTATTAAATTAAACAAAAGAAACAAATATTTTTTTTAAAAAATAATAATAAAAATTTATATAAAAAAAATTTTATCTAAAAAATAATAATTAAAAATTTTTAATACCTCATTTGGATATTGTTTTTCCGTATTATTATTATTTTGTGTTAAATTTTCATTGCAATCAATTAACTTATAAATTAGTTTTGTATCAGTTTTTTCAGGTAAACATAGGGCTTCTTCAACCCTAATCTGATGATCCTTTAATTTGGCCATCATACTTTGATCCATTTGACCTCCCATTTGACCTCCTCCCCCTCCCATTTGACCTCCTCCTCCCCCTCCCATTTGACCATGTACAAATTTAGTATTAGTGTAATTTTCAACTATTATTACTACTATTATAAAAACATTGACAATAAAAGCAAACATGATTTTTATTATTATTATTAATAAAAAAATAATTAAAATAATTTATATGAAAAAAAAATATTATTGACTATTAGTAACAAATGAATAATAAAATTAATTAAATAATTTTTTTTAATATAAATAAAAAAATTTAAAAAAAAAATAAAATTATTATTGACTACTAGAAACAAATGAAAAAATTTTTTGATAAAAAAATAATGATTTTTTTTAAGTGTGTATATATATATAGTATAATCTATATTTAATTAATTTATAAACTAATTAAAATATTAAATAAATATTTGTTTAAACTAAATTAAAATAAAAATTTGTTTAAACAGTTATTATAATAACAATTAATTAAATAAATTTAATTAAAATGTTTATTCACATGTAATATACTCATTATAATATAAAAAATTAAAATGTTAAATTAAACATTAAATAAAATATTTTTGTATAATCTAGGTACAATTGTAATTTTAATTAACTGTTCAAATAACTAATGATTAAACTAATTTAAAAAAAATATTTCTAAACTTTTAATTTATACAATTTTAGTTTGCTTTAATTACAACATTAATATAATATATATATAAAGTAAATAAAATCTATTTAAACAATTAGTTATAAATTATATTTTTTTAAAAGGAAAATTAACTGTAAAAATAACATACTATTAGTTTTTTTTATAAAAATATATTAAAAAAATAATTATATAAATATTATTTTTAAATTTATTTTCTAATAATATATTTTATTATTAAATTTATTGATTTTATTATAATTTCTATTATTATTATTATTATTATTATTATTATTATTATTATTATTATTACTATTCCTATTATTATTATTATTATTGATAATAAATGACCATGATAGATTTTGTTGGCGCCATGATTGATAAAATCTGCTAGTACCATTATTATTATTATTATTATTACCATGCTTATAATAATAATACACCAATACGTCTACCAGTAGTTTATTTGCACAGTTAGTCACWGTTAGGATAGATAAGCCAAACMATAGCCCTATTAGTGAACCAATGAACGAACAATATTCGGGAAACGTTAGTTTAGGTAAGTGCTCGTAAAGGACGTCCGGCTGGTCGGGTGTTTGCCATACAACAGATCAAACWGAGGCCAATGGTAGTCGAATGTATAGTCAAAAAATTGATACGTTTCCCTAAAACATGGACTATTMTGGGGACAGTTATGTTGGCATTCAAATTGKRCATACATATCAATGGATAAATTGTTATGCATGGGTGCCCAGGGTTCGGCTATTTTMAGCAYCGATAGATTATCCTCTTTACTGTACATATACATCCCSGGCCATTGGTTATGGTATAGACGTTGCAATACMCGRCGYCTACAGTCGCCWATACAGTCATCCCGTGAATAGTGTTGTTGGCCMTGRTTTTCACGGTCATAGTGTCGACAGTTGGTTTCGTAMGGCGCCGGYAGCGACTTGTAGGCTATCCTATTGTTTTTGTTTGTTTGTTGTTTGAAATTAAATAATAATAATAATAATACTGTACTTAAAAACTATTTGTTAGTTTACAAAAAAAATATTATTATAAAAAACTAATATTATTATAAAAAACTAATATTATTATAAAAAACTAATATTATTATAAAAAAATAAATTATTATAAAAAAAATTATTATAAAAAAATATTATTATAAATAAATATATTATTATAAAAAATATATTATTATAAAAAAACTAATATTATAAAAAATATATAATTATAAAAAAAATATATTATTAAAAAAAATAAATTATTATAAATTAATTATGAACTATGAACAAAAAAATATTAATTAATAATTTTTCAATAATAAACATTTATATATATATTAATATATAAATTATATGTATATAGAGTATATATATATATTTATTATTTTTATAACTTAAAGTATGTACACTGTCATCATTAACCCTCACAGCAGAAGTGATTAGAGTGTAAATATTAAACATAAATAATGTATAAATATTACAATTAAACTTAACCCCTAAATACATAATAATAAATAAATAGTAATAATAAGTAAATAATAATAATAAATAAATAATAATAATAAGTAAATAATAATAATAAATAAATAATAATAATAAGTAAATAATAATAATAAGTAAATAATAATAATTTAATTTTAATAAATAAATAAAAATAATTATTTTAATAAATTGTTTACACATTTTCCTTCATTTACATAACAAACATTAATTCGTTTTATAAAATTATTAACTACTTTATTATAAGTTTCATTTTTTATATTTTTAAATGCATAAATTAATCTATTTTTTAAATCCTCAATATCTGTAGGCAAATTATCATATTGCATAATTTTAGATTTTATTGCACCCCACAAATAAAAATCACAGGGCGTTAAATCGGGTGAACGACTGGGCGAAATATTTGGGGTTTTTAAGCTGACCAATCGATCACCAAATACTTCAGTTAAATATTCAAGTGTTTGGTTTGCTATTTATAAAAAATAATAATATAAATAATAATATAAATAATAATATAAATAATAATATAAATAATAATAAAAATAATAATAAAAATAATAATATAAATAATAATATAAATAATAATATAAATAATAATATAAATAATAATATAAATAATAATATAAATAATAATATAAATAATAATATAAATAATAATATAAATAATAATAAATAATTAAACTGATATCAATTGTAAATGAAATTAAATTTTATAAATTATACCTGTGTGGCAACTGGCCCCGTCCTGTTGAAAAATTTGGTTATTAAAATGACGGCCAGTAATTTTTTTTAACTCAGGGACGAAATAGTTTTGTAACATATTTTGATATGTTATTTGATTAACAATCAATCGTTTCTGGTTTTCGTCTTCAAAAAAAATAAGGACCAATAATACCTTTAAAAATATAAAAAAGAAAAAGTAATCATATGTATTTTTATAAAAATGCTAAACATTTAAATATTAAATATGTTTGTAATGTCAACGATTGTGGCAAATGTTTTACTAGAAATACACATTTATATATATAAACGAGTATTTGAAAACATTTACAACAAAAAATAGATCATTCAATTGAACCACAATTTATGTGTGATTACAATATATATTTTACAAATTTATATATATATATTGACGAGAAATAGCTGCCCATACAGTTACATAACTTGGATGAGTATTTTTCTATTACGAAATAACAGGTCTTTCTGTGGCCCAACACCTCATATTTTGCTTATTTATGTAACCATCGAGGTGACAGTGAGCTTCATCCGACCACCAATAATTATCTAAATAGTCTAAATAAAAAAATATATTAAATGTTTGTAATGTCAACGTTTGATGCAAATGTTTTACTAGAAATTCACATTTAAATCAACATAAATCTAGCGTTCATTTTAATAAAAAGTTTAAATGTTTTTATGAAAATTGTAATAAATAAATTAAATAAATAAATACCTGGTTTGTTTGCCAATTTATTCATCATTTCAAAACAATATTGTTTTCTCATATTTTCATGTTTTTTAGTTAATTTTACAATAAATTGTAATTTATAGGGGTATAATAGTAATTCATCAGTTAATATTTTGTGTAATGAGCCATAACTCATTTTAACATTACGTAACTTTAGTTGATTTAATAATTGATTAATTGTTTTAAAATTATGTAATAATTGTTTAATTAATTCAATATTATTATTAGTTACCACTGTTTTCATGTGTGGAACTTTAAAATTGGTTTCAACTCTTTGGTCATTTTTAAAATCTTTATAAATTTTTGTTATTGTTAACCGATTTGGAGGATTTTTATTAAATTGTTGTTCAAATTTTATTTGAACATATTTATCACGTGATTAAAATTCTTCAGATTTTTTAAATGTTAAATATGTTTCGATGATAAACACTCTTTCTTTTGGATTATAATATTTACTCATTTTCAAGTATATCACAATTAAAATAAAAAATATAAGTGAATTCGTATTAAATTGAAATAGACTTACAATTAGTGTTCAAATTGCATAAAAATATTAAATATATAATATTAAAATAAATTTATCACAATTTACTATTTTATTAATATTGACTAAATATCACAGGCTCTGAATTATAAAATAAAAATATATAATTATTGTTATAATAGCACAAAAACATGTGCTCAATCCCCCCTAAACCTGTTTTTACGCGCGTTATTTTATAGAGTGACTCACTTGAGCCAATGTTTTGATGTGACGGTTACTGATAACAGTGTATAAATATAAAAGTAATTATTTATTAATGTTTTTTAGAAACTGTAAACATTTAATTAAACTAATATTATCTAAATTATTATATATTTGAACTGTATTTATAACTAGTATATTTTTATATAAAAATAAATATTATTTAGTTTAAAAAAAATATTTTCATAGTATAAATTCAATTAAATAGGGAAATATTTTATTTTTTTCAAAAAAATTTATAGGGAATTTTATAGGGAATTTTATAGTTTTATAGGGAATTTTATAGGGAATTTTATAGGGAATTTTATAGGGAATTTTATAGGGAATTTTATAGGGAATTTTATAGGGAATTTTATAGGGAATTTTATAGGGAATTTTATAGGGAATTTTATTCCATGGAATTTATTGGGAAGTATTGGAAAAAAATTWATAGTTAAATATATTTATATACCTATTATATCGGATATAATTATATCGATGAACATTATAGATAGGTTTGGGTACGTGTTTGAAATATCKGTAAATTTGTTGTCTAGTTGAATGCATAATCAAATAGAACATGGGTATGTCGACTATTGCACCGGTAGTTTGGATCCGAAACCGCATTACTTCGACCATATAGTCTCTGTAGACGACATCGTTGTCGGCAATAAAATCCCGGTTATCGCTATTAGTATTACCCGAACCGTTGCTGGACTGCCGATACTGTTGTATGAATGTAAAACATACCCGAAACCAGTCGATGGATACCCGAACCGGTGATAACCGATTGCACGGGACATACGGTTCCCGATGACTATCATCGGTGTCGTCGTCGCCGACGCCGACCATTGATTGCGGTCTCAATACAYGACAACTGTTGCCAAATACTTCCGTATCGGTTGCGGCCAATACACGGAACTGGTCATCGATGGACAGTTGGTTTATCAGTTCAAGTATCTGTTGGTTAGTCATATTTTCCGACTGTTTACGAATGAGTAGATCCMTGTCCTTCAATAGATACGGCTTATCCACGCATACGGTAATACCGGGTATGTATACCTGGGATAGACTACTACCGGTTCGTACCGAAGTTATTGTCGGATATCGGAAATACATATCAGATATTTCTGTCATCTGATACAAACACGCGCCCATACATAGCACGTGTACTGCTAGTAGTTGTGGCGGTTTTGCGCGTAACACGTGTTTCATGCGTTGCCAAACTTTTTGGTAAATTTTGGTCATTTTATTTAATTATAATTATTTTATTTATTTTTTTTTTGAAAATAATAGTTAAATATTAGTTAGTTAAATATTAGTTAGTTAAATATTATTAGTTAAATATTAATTAATTAATTAATTTTATATTATTTTTTTTAATTAGATATTTAAATAAAATTTACTGTATATTTACAATACAACAAACAATTATTGTATAAATACATTACATATTGTAAAATAAAAAATATATATTTCAATCAATTTTATTTATCAATTTAGTAAATATTAATTAAAATAATTTATTTATTTAAATATATTTAATATTAATATTATTAGAGTATAATACAACGTAAATAAAATTAAATTTTTATTACATTATTATTATTATAACTAGAAATTAATTTAATATATATTATTTAATAGATAAATATTTACAATATAACAAAAATCAATTTAACAAATATATCATATAATAATAATAATGTAATTTACATTATTATAAATTATACTTAAAGTATATTATTAAATACATATAATACTAATGATATTTATATTATTATAATAATAATGATATAAATTATGTTTTGCTAATCAATATATAGATTTATTTATTTAAATAAATACTATATTATATTATACAGTATATTACAGTAAATGATAAATAAATGATAAATAAAATATGTATTTTTATTTTTTTATTATAAAAATAATTACATGTATTTTATTTAATAATAAAATCAATAAAAATACTAAATTCTATATTAAAGAAATACATATATATTTTTATAAATAATTATTAAAATTACTATTTTATTTATAAATTAAAAACACAAAAATTATTATTATAAAATAGTAAGCTAATAAAATAGTAAAAAAAACAGTTAAAAAATTATAATTTTTAAAGTAGCATGCTTATCAATCATAAATTAATAAATATATTATTAAAAATATAACTAAATTAAACAAAATAAAAAACAAAAAAAATATTTTTATAATAATAATTATTATTAAATTACAAATAATATGTACAGATAAACAATTATTTTTAAAAAAAAAATCATTATGATTATTATTTAATATTTAATCAGTGTACAATATATTAATAAATAATATATCAATCTATGTTTTTTTTAAAAAAATAATAAAATAAAAATTTTAAATAAAAAAAAATTATAGTTATATATATACACATAAAAATGTAATTATAATTTAATGTTTAATATAATTATAAATATTTTTAGACTAAAAAAATGTTTAACAAAACTATTATTATATTATTTTATTTAATATTAGCTATACTACTATTATTTCTAAATTGTACATGGTTAATTAATTGCCAAAAAATTATTAACTATGATAATCAGTTAAGTAAGGCATTATGTTTGCCCAATAAAACCGATACCCAAACCGTACGCCAAATAAATCAATGTTCCGATCAATACTATAAACAATTGGATGAAAAACATCAAAAAGTTTATGATAAAGTATTTTTTAAAAAAAATATTAATTGTAATTTTATGTTCAAAAAAAATCTATTTCATTAATATTTATGTTTAAAAACATTTATTAAATTTAGTTTTATATTCAAAAATATTATTTAATTAATTTTTTATGTTCAAAAAAAATCTATTTAATCTAGTTTTATGTTTAAAAAATATTATTGAAATTATTTTACTAAAAAAAATTATTTAATTAATTAATTAATTATTTTTTTCTAATTTTTAATTAATCCAAAATAAAAAAAAAGTTAAAAACATTTCTCAACGGTTGTGTCTCAGGAAAGGACAGCGAAATCATTGGCTATACTAAGATAGATATGTCGGACATATCGGTAAAGTCACGGTTAATCCAATATTGTTGGCCAGCCTATAGTGACTGCCTTAAAACTCAACTACAAACATTGAGCGTTGATGATAAAAAATTGGTCCAGGATAATATCGATAATAAGGCTAATGATAAATTTAAGGTATATATATATATATATATATATATATATATATATATATAAATAAATAATAATTTTTAGATTTTTAAAAATTATTGTTTAATATAATTTTATTGTTTTTTTTAATTTTTTTAAATTATAGGAATGTTTCTATCAAGCGGTTAATATTAAGTAAAAATAGGGAATTTTTTTTTTTTGGGATATTTTGGAAACTAATCAAAAACTGAAATAATTTTTTTTTAAATAAACGAAAAATATTTAAATCAAAATTGTTTTTATATTAACTTCAAATATGTTAAAAAWTTTTATCTGTTTTAAAATTTATTATTTATATTTGTTTAAAATGTTTTTTTAAAATACATATTCTAATTGTATATTATTATTAAAAAAATTATATTTTATTAAATTTTTTGACTAATTAATAAATTGCAACAAAAAATCAATTTCTATTTATTAAAAAAAAATTGTTTTATAAATATAAAATTTATACAGATTAAATTTATATATTTAAAATAAACTCTATTAAAAAAAACAAACTAATTTATTTTTATAAAAATTGTAAATTTTTATATAATGTATGATTATATTTATATTATAATATTTTAATATATATATGTATATATAATATCAATTTACTAAAAAAAATAAATCTATAAAATAATATTTAATTAAATGACAATTAATATTTATATAATTAATTTGTTTAAATTTAAAAAATAAAATAAATCATATCAATCATAATCATTATTTTTATTTAATATTTGATCAGTGTACAATATATATATATATATATATATATATATATATATATATATAACAAATATATCAATCAATTAATTGTTTATAAAATGTCAAAAGTTTAAGCAATGCTTTAACAATAAAAAAATAATAATAAATGTAAATAAAAATTTTAGGTATATATATATATTTAAAAATTTATATAAATATAGTTAAAAAAAAATTTTATTTATCTAAAAATCATGTTTAACAAAACTAAAATTATGTATTTTACTATATTAACAGTATTATTATTATTGTTAAACTGTACATGGTCAATTCATGGCGATGATACTAATGATAATTATAATAAATTTGTTCAAACATTTTGTATGCCCAACAAAACCGATACCCAAACCGTACGCAAAGTTAATCAATGTTCAGATGAAAGCTATAAACTATTGGACGAAAAACATCAGAAATTTTTCGATAAAGTAATATAATATCAAATATATATTTATTAATTAAATTTTATGATAAAGTAATTTAAATTATTACTAAAACAACAAAATATTTATAACAAAAAATTAATTAATTGATTATTTTATTTTATTGATTTAATAATTTAGTTTAAAACTTATTGTTTTCAACAACAAAAAATCTAATTAATTTATTTTTTAAGTTCAAAAAAAAATCAATTAATTAATTAATATTTTATTTCATTTTTTTTAGTTAAAAACGTTTTGTAGGGAATGTGTGACCGGAAAGGATAGTGAAGTCAAGGGCTATACTTTGGTTGATATGTCGGACACTCGGGTAAAGTCTACGTTAATCCGGTATTGTTGGCCATCCTATGTTGACTGTTATGTACAAAAATATAAATCGCTTAGTGATGATGATAAAAAATTGGCTAAAGATATTAACAATAATAATGCTAATGATAAATTTAAGGTATTTAAAAAAATTAATTAATTAATTTATAAATTTTAAAATTATTTTTTAATAATTATAAATTGATATTTTTTAATTAAAATAAAAATAATTTGTATTTTTTTTGTATAGGAATGTGTCAATCAAGTGGTTAAAATATAAATCAAAATTGAAAAAATTGGGAAAATTTTACTTGATCAAATACAATTATTATTATTTTTTGTTAAAAAAATTATAAACAATTATGGTTTAATTATTTTATAAATTATCAAAAATGTGTTTTTATTAAAAATTATTATAATCCAAATGTTTTTAGGATATATATATAATTTAATTGTTTTAAAAAATTATTATTATTATTAAATTTGATTATTAATAAATTGCAACAAAAAAAATCAATAGTTTTTTAAAAAATTATTTTATAATAAACAAACAAAATAAACTATAATACAATAACTAAATATTAGTGTAAATAATATATATTTTTATATAATCTATAAAATATTTTTAAATCAATAATTTAAAGTCTATATAATTTATATATAATATAAAACTACTTACAAGTTAGTAATATCTAAAAAATAACATATTTTTAAAATAATATATCTAATAATTTTAATTAATATTTGTAATTTAATATTTGATCAGTTATTACAATGTAACTATCAAACATATCAATCAATAATTGTTTGTTTGTCAAAAAATTTAAAAATAAAATTTTTATCTATATATATATATATGTAATTAATTTTTTAAAATAAACATTATTATTTGTATTTTTTGTTTCATTTTTTACATAAAAAAATTAATTTATTTTTATTATCTAAAAAATGTTTAACAAAACTCAAAAAATAATGAATTTTACTATATAAACAAAAATTATATATATATATAATATTAAATTTTATATTTATGTTTAATAAACAAAATTAATAGATAGAAAAAAATGCCAAATCAGGTAAAAAAATCATTTAAAATATTTAATCATATATTTATCAATATTTTTTATATATACAGTATATATTAGTATATATTATAATTATTAGCATATTAGTTATTTTTAAAAGATAATAATTTTACACCAAATGCTCAACAAACAAAAAATATATAAATGTAAATAAAATTTTAGATATAAATATATTACTACATATATAATTTGAAGTTTTTAACTAAATGTAAATATATATATATAATTTGAGGGTTTTTTTTATTAAAAAAAATATATTTATATAAATGTTTAACAAAAATAAAATTATCTATTTTACAATATTAACATCATTAGTATTGTTAAATTGTACATGGTCAATTTATAGTGATGATGATTATACTAAATTTGTTTCGGCATTTTGCGTGCCCAACAAAACCGATACCCAAACCGTACAAAATGTTAACCAATGTTTCGATAAATACTATAAACAATTGGACGAAAAACATCAGAAATTTTTCGATAAAGTAATTAATTAATTATTTTTTTTATAAAAATATTTTAGTTTAAAATAAAAATTATTTATTTATTTTTTTTTGATAATTAAAAGTTAGAAACGTTTTGTACGGAATGTGTCTCCGGAAAGGACAGTAAAGTCACTGCCTATACATTGGTTGATATGTCGGACACTCGGGTAAAGTCAATGTTAATCCGTTTTTGTTGGTCATCCTATCTGTACTGTTATTTACCAAAGTTTGAATTGTTAAGCGACGATGATAAAAAATTGGCCAATGATATTGATAATAATAATAATAATAATAATAATAATGCTAATGATAAATTTTGGGTATTTAAAAAAACAAAATTATTTTTATATATTTTGAAAATAAAATATTGTTTATTTTTTGTTTAAATAATAAATAATTATTATTTGCTTATTTTTTTATATAGGAATGTGTCAATCAAGTGGTTAATATTGAATAAAATCTGAAAATTTTTTTTTCATTAACTAATAAAACAACTTAAAAAAATGACAAAAATTATGTTTTAAAACAATTGATTTATAACATTAAATATCATTTAATTATTAATGTATCAAATGTTTATTATTATTATTATTTTAAATATGTTTTAAAATTTTATGTTTTAGCTAAATCTGTTTTAAAATGATTTTATTTAAATATTTAAATTGTATTTTTTAGATCTATAAAAATTTGATTATTAGTAAATTGCATAAATAATTGAATTATTTTTATTTAAAAATTATTATGTAAAAATTAAAATTACAAAAAAAGTTCTTAGTGTTTATTTAATTTTTAATTTTCTTAAATTTATAAATAAACTGTAAAAATATAACTAACTATAAAATGTGTACTTTTAATATCACTATATAAAAAAGTTTATATAATATCAAACTAACTACAAGTTAGTAATATTTATAAAAATAATATTTTTTTTAAAATTAAAACTATACATTTATTTTGCTTAAATTACAAAATTTATTTATATGTAAAAAAATATTCATATCAATCATAATTTTTAATTAATATTTGTATTTTTAATATTTGATCAGTTATTACAATATAAATATCTAAACATATCAATCACTCAAATTGTTTGTCACAAAAAAAATAATAAATGCAAATAAAAATTTATATATATATATATATATAAGTATATAAATCTAATTTAAATTTAATGTTTCAAAAAATATTAATTAAATTTTATTAAAAATAATAATAATATTATTTTCATTATCCCCAAAAAAAATGTTTAACAATATTAAAAAAATATTGTATTTTATTGTACTAACAGTATTACTGGTATTGTTAAATTGTACATGGTCAATTCATGGCCACAATAATGATGATAATATGAAACAATTTATTCAAGCATTTTGTTTGCCCAACAAAACCGATACCCAAACCGTACGCCAAGTAAACCAATGTTGCGATAAAAGCTATAAACTAATGGACGAAAAACATCAAAAATTTTATGATAAAGTAATTAATAATTTTTTTTCACTAAAATTTTTTTTTTAATAAAATTAATGATTTTATAAAAAAAAAAATATTTATTTATATATTTTATGTTCAAAAAAATTATTTTCTTATATTTTTGTGTTCAAAAAAATTATTTTCTTATATTTTTGTGTTCAAAAAAATTATTTTCTTATATTTTTGTGTTCAAAAAAATTATTTTCTTATATTTTTGTGTTCAAAAAATTATTTATTTATATATTTTATGTTCAAAAAAATTATTTTCTTATATTTTTGTGTTCAAAAAATTATTTATTTATATATTTTATGTTCAAAAAAATTATTTTCTTATATTTTTATGTTCAAAAAATTATTTAATTTTATTATATTTTGTTTTTTTTAGTTAAAAACTTTTCGCATGGATTGTATCACCGGAAAGGACAGTGAAGTCACTGACTATAAATTGGTTGATATGTCGGACGCATCGGTAAAGTCAACGTTAATCCGGTACTGTTGGTCATCCTATGCGGACTGTTATAGACCTAAATTTCAATCGTTAAGTGATGATGATAAAAAATTGGCCCATGATAATAAATTAGCTAATGATAAATTTAAAGTATGTATAATTTTTTTTAATAATATTTATTAATTTAGAAAAATAGTTTATTAATTTTTAAAATAGTTTAATAAGTTATAAAATAATTTATTAATTTTTAAAATAATTTATTAATTTTTAAAATAATTTATTAATTTTTAAAATAATTTATTAATTTTTAAAATAATTTATTAATTTTTAAAATAATTTATTAATTTTTAAAATAATTTATTAATTTTTAAAATAATTTATTAATTTTGAAAATAGTTTTTAATTAAGAAAAATAGTTTATTATTTTAGAAAAAAATTATTTAATTTATTATTAACTATTATTAATCTATTGTTTATTATTTATGTATTAATAGGAGTGTATCAATCAAGTGGTTAATAGTAAATAGATTTAAATATTACTGGAAATTATAGTTTCAACAAACAAACAAAAATTTATTAAAAAAATATGCTTTAATTATCTTTAAAAAATAATTTACAAAAAAATGTATGAATTATTTATGTATCAAAATTTTTAGAAAAAATATATAAAATATTGAAATTTATTTATATATTATTTTTTTGTGACTTATTTATGTTTGACTTATAATATTTTATTATTAATAAATTGTAATAACAAACAAACAAACAAATATCTGTAAATTTGTTTTATTTATTAATTTAAAGTTTATAATTATTATTATCTAGTTATAAATTTTTTATACTATTTTTAAATAATATTATATGTAAAATATAAATCATTAAATCAATTTAATTAGCAATTATAAAACTGTAGTTTATTTTTATTAATGATCCATAAAATTACTATTTAGTTTATAAATTTTAAATAAATTATTAAAAAAAATCTAAGACTAATGATTGTTATTAAAATAAATTAGATTTTGAAAAACAAAACAAAAAATAACATTTTAAATACTAATTCATAAAATTATATAATACTATATATACTGTACTTTATATCCTCTTTAAGTATTAAAGTATAACTAAATAAATACTATTATTATTATACTATTTGATAAAAAAATATTTAAACATATTTACAAATATTTATCTAAAAATATCTTAATTTTTTTTTAAAAAATATATCAATCATAATTTATTATTATTATTATCATTTAATATTTGATTTATATAAAAAAAATTTATCAAATCTATCAATCAATTATTTATAATGTAAATAAAATTATATCTATATATATATATATATAATATATATGCAAAAAATTTAATTTTATTTTATTTTATTAATTTATAGATTTAAAAAATATGTTTAACCAAACTATACTAATGTTTATCAGTCTAGTAATATTAGTATTGTTAAACTGTACATGGTCAATTAATGGCCATAATAATAATTACCGACAATTTGTTTCGGCATTTTGTTTGCCTAACAAAACCGATACCCAAACCGTACGCCAATTAAACCAATGTTCAGATCAATGCTATAAACTAATGGATGAAAAAAGTCAGAAATTATTTGATAAAGTATTTAAAAAAATATAAATTATTTAATTAATTTTTATAATACAAAAAAATTATTTAATTCAATTTTATGTTCAAAAAAATCTATTTAATTTTTGTTTTATATTAAAATAATTTATTTAATTTTTTTATATATAAAAAAAATATTATTTAATTTATTTTTATGTTCAAAAAAATCTATTTAATTTATTTTTAT